TTAAGTGGAGAGCAAATGTTTTGAGGATGATGAGGGCAATGAACGTACAAATGTGCATTACACAATTGATGTATGGATTGTGATTAAAAAAAAAGAAATATCCATGTTGTATCAAGCAGAAAGATGTTTTGAAAATGATGGCAACATATGCACAAGCTTGCCTGATATAATTGATTTATGAATTGTTTTAACATCTGTAAGAGCCCCCAATAAAATGATTAAAAAACAAACAAGATCTTGAGAAAGGAGGAAGACTAAGGTTACTGGAAATCTTTGGAGGTCACAGAAAACTGTTTATAGAACTAAAAGATTGTTGTTGGGTACCCTCAGGTTGGTTCCAACTCACAGGGACTGTAAGTACAAAGTGACACACCGCCGTCCTCCAAGTCCCTGCTATGTAAGTTAAAGGCCAGTGGTGCAGCCACTTATAAAGATAATGGAGAATTCAATGCAAAAGTTTATTGCGTAAACAATAAAAAAATTCAAAGACATTTATTCTATCTTCTTTTTAATACAGATTGTTCGCATTTTGTTTGGCGTCTGTTAAATAGATCACAGTAGTTACGCTTTGACATTGTTCTTCATATTTACGACAAACAACTTTGCACAGTTCACCGTTACAGCCATCCTCTCAATGCCTTGGATCACATCCCACCGACTTCGACGACTTATTCTGAATCCACTGAAGCCCGCTGCTAGACAGTGAGGCACGTCAAGTTCTGACCATTACCGCCGCACTCGGTCTCCAAGCAGGCCGCTCCTCCTCTCGAGGCTGTCCCTGGGAGGAGGCCGAGCAGCGTGAAGCCCACAGGCGGCCTTGGGAGCAGATGGTACGCATCCTGACCCACTTACTCACTAGCTGTGTGACTCTGTGCTAACTAATTAGCTTAGGCTTGGGCTGCCTCACTGGTAAAATGAGTGCAGACCGGCTCCCACCCACTGAACTTGTTCCGGGGCTTCAATGAGATGAGAGTTGTAAAGTGCTTAGAACCATGCGTGGCACTCAGCCAGCACTCCCGGCAAGACTGGGTGCAATGCCGGGAGCAAATGCCCACGAAGCCCTCTCAGCACCAAGCAGATGCCAGGCACAGTCTTCGCTACGCTATCGCTTCAAAATGGCTCCATCCTCACCCAAGCCAGGTGGCTGTCCACCTCCCATCACTCCCTCCTCCTCCTGGACTGGCAGGGAAATGGTCAAGGAACAAGATGGGGTTACCTGTCACCCCCGTTTCCTCAGGAGAACAGCCAGCACTCCTTCATGTCTCCTGCTGGGGTACTGCCAGAGGAGATGGAGTGGGTGTGGAAAGCCGAGGCTCAGAATCGACCACCAAGGCCACCCACCTTGTCAGCACAGCCCCTTTCCAGCTCCCCTTGCTTGGCTTCAGCCCCTAACAGCAGAGGCAGGGAGAAAGGGTCCTAGGGCTGAGAAGGGCAGCTTCAGCTGCCTCAGGTGGGGAGCCAGGGCATGAGCAAAGGCCAAGGAGAGGCCCAACCGCAGACAGCATTTCAGAGGCTGGGCATCCAGTGACCTAGGCGCTCGAGCTGGAACACACCGGGGCAGACTCAGGATAAGAATCAACCAAAAACAGTGAGCAACACGGAGGAGGAAGTGTTTGTACTCTGGCTGAGGCGGAACGGAAGTTGCCAGCAGGAACAGGGTGGATGGGATGGGAAAGATGGCTCTGCTCATCCCGGTGGATGAGAGTCAAAGACAAAAGCCCCCAAAGAGGCTGCTCCACCCCCGTCTTATGAAAGCGAGCTGCGATGTCCAAGCAGGAAGCGATGTCCAAGCAGGAAGCAACTAGAAATCGGCATTGGCTGTGTGTAGGAGAGCCTCCTTTCTGCCCAGAGGCAGAGCCTGACTCCCAGGTACCACCTGGGGGAGGAGATGAGGGGGTTCCCTGCTGGAGGATATTCCCAGCCGGGTGATAATGGAAAGAACAGAAGGTCAGAAAGCGCAAGCATGCAAGCATGCGGTGTGACCGCAGTGAAGACTGCTCAAGTAGAAGCCTGAAGCTACTTATTAGCAGGTTAAAGCAACACCCAGAACCGAGAAGCCTTTAAGTCAGGAGAGCCAGGCAGCTGGGCACATGGGCTAATGAGCCAAGGGGTTAACAAAGGTTTTCAACACCCTGTCCCCTAAAAAGTCCTGCCCCTGGGAGGGAGAGAGGAAGGGCTTGGCAGTCCTCTTTGCTGAGAGCCATCCAGAAAGCCACTGACCAGGGACTGCACAGTATTCCTACAAGTCACCTAGTGTCGTTAAGTGGGAAGGTTTCTGAGAACTGACTCAAGATGCCACTGTTGTGGATAGAGCAGCCAAACCGCAGGCAGGCCCCTGCTTTAATGGCATCTGTGAAAAGGGTACAAAGGAGAAGATCCAATGAAGGCTCACAACCAAAGAACAGGTTCCCGGTTCCTTAGGAGTGTGCGCCCTTGGGGAAGGAGGCTCCGGGCCTCAGTCCCATGAGAACAGTCCATTACTGTTTGAAAGCACATCCGTTCCATCTAGCAACATACCGCCAGTTTGACAGGAGCCTCTGGAAGGCTGGCAAACAGGCCAGCGAGGTCTCTGGTGAGAAGTAGCGGAGCCTCACTCGAAATGGCTCTGCAAGCTGTAATAACCCTCAACTTCAACAAGGCCCTCTCTCTAAATGCAGGAATGCAGAAGACTCACTGCATTCCAGGGACAGAGCCGCCGCCCTCTGCTCAGGGGCTCACCAAGGTTACTCCAGCCTCCAACGCCCTTTTCGGAAGCGTCCACCGCGACACTCTTCACTGGGGGAACATGGATGAGAGACAAGGTCCCTGTTCTCAGGGAGCCTGTTTCTCCCACTATCTCCAAGCAACACCAAGAACTCCCTCCCTCTCTTATCCAGGGCCCAGCATGTTTCCACTTGGCGCCATTCACAAAGTCTGCAACACTAAGGGCCCCAGTGATTCTTGGGGCTTAAGGGATAACCCTCCTGAGCTCAGGGGCCAGTCTCTCCACGACAGTACAGCTTCACAGCCTCTTATGTACAAGAGACCTCCTGTTAACATCACGAGGTCTGTCGCCATCTGCTTTTTATTCATGAAAAAACAAGACACGTGCAGCGCTATTTTAAAGAAATTTTTAAAAAATTAAAAGAAATTTAGCTACTCCTTTTTTGGGGGCGGGAGGGCATTATATATAAAATGTATAGTGTAAACCTTTTTAAAAAAACAGCCACCTACATTTTACAGTCTGATTCTTAAGACAGGTTTGTGGTCCACATGGACACCCTGTAATCATTTCACACCACTGTGGCACAGCAGCTTCAAGAGAAGACTCTTTCTAATTCACTTCACCACGCACCAGCACGTGACACCTTCCTCCTGGGTAGAGGTCTCCTGTAGTGCAAACACTGGCCAGTTTTGCCCCAAATCCCATGGACGGGCCGAGCCACCTACCACTACCACTGCCAGCCACAGGCCCAAAGAACCACTTGGAAGCAGCCGCTACCTGGCCCACCAGCTGACACACACACGCACACCAGGCCCTGTGGATCCCCGTGAACAAGCAGAATTGAAAACAACAAAATCTGATGCCCAAGAAAAAAGGGACTGTTCTTTAAAAAGAAACGTATGTAATCAATGACCCTACGTTGGATCCTGGTTTAGTAAGACACATTAGAACTTTGGGGCACAAGTTGGAATTCTGAACAGAGGCTGAGTATTGGATCCTATTAAGGAAGGGATTGATCATTTTTGCTAAGTTTGGTATAGAGAAAAAGAGAACAATTGAACTGTTCAGCACTGTGCACAAAGTGGAGGATTGATGGGTGGAATCCTGAGACGCTTATAATTTTCATGAAAATAACTCAAAATAAAAGTGAGATATAAACTTCACAATGAAAGTGAGATATAAACTCAGTTAACCAAAAAACTGCCAGAGAAGTGATTTTCTAGACAAAGCGGCCATTAGCCAGGGCCGCTTTGCAGTGACCAGAGGTCTCAGGGAGGGTGATCTCAGAACCGTGGAAAAAAGGGGCTCTCTCGGCAGACAGGAGCCCAGCGGCTGTTACCAAGGTGACAGAGAAAATGGCTATCTTACCGCTGAGTTTCACATACTGGGTAGAGAGAAGACCTCACCTCTGACCGGAAGGAATCACAGGTCAATGTGAGGCTTTGCAGCTCAAATGAAAGCCAAAGTCCTGCCATTCCTGACTGGTCCCCAGACGGTCTCCATCTTGGCTTCCTTGTTCTCAGCCCCCAGGATGCGAGTGCACTCTGCTCAAGGCACTGAACCGGGCACCTCCTCCGGGCACCTCCTCCTGCTCTGGGGCCGTGGCCCTGCACAGCACAGGGTCCCCAGTCAGAGGCCTTGGCAACAGCGCCAGCTCCTGATGACCACACCAGACGGAGGGACATTTAGCTGACCAAAGGGAATTCCTGTTTTATTTCGCAAGGAGTCGCTCTCATTCCCGTGCTTGCAGGCTGGATTATCTTCAGGCTGAGCATAGAGATTCCCATTGCCGGAATATTCGGAATACCTTCCGAGACTTCTCAGAGAGACTCTGTAGGGAGACAAGCCAGTGTCAGAGTAAAGCCTTCAACAGAGACAGAGGCTGGGTAACAGCTTCAAGCCCTGATTTGTCAGTATCTCTCACAGGCTGTCGCTGTGTCTTGGGGTGAAGGAAACCACTTACACTTCAGTGTTAGAAATGCAGACTCTAAAGCAGTGGTTCTCAACCTGTGGGTAGCGACCCCTTTTGGGGTGTGTGTGTGTGTATAATGACACTTTCACAGGGTCGCCCGATTCATAACAGTAGCAAAATGAGTTATGAAGTAGCAATGAAAATAGTTTTATGGTTGGGGGTCACCACAACATGAGGAACTGTATTAAAGGTTCATGGCATTAGGAAGGTTGAGAACCACTGCCCTAAATGCATGCCTACCCAAAGCCCAAGCCCAGAAGCCTGGGCTCAATAGGCCAGCAGTGGCTCAATAGACCCTCACTGGGCCACAGATTACAGCTCACACCCTGTGCCAGCCCCCCACTCAGCTGGCACTGTCCCCCATCCCTGTATGACTCTCTTAGGAACAAAAGCCTGTGTCTACATGATGCCCAACTGGGGTTAATCTAGGTCAAGGCCAAGTAACAGAGCAGAGTGAAATGACCTCCGAGTTTGTGTCCTCCTCTGGTTTTAGCCAGCAGAGCTAAGAATAGGAAGCTTCTCAGTGCCACCTGATCATGCCTCCTAAGTGACCTGTCATTCTGAGAACTGGTGTCACAGGGAGATAAAGCGGCTCACTGAGAAACCAAGCTCTCGGTCCTTCAGAAGCCGGGGTGTCAGCCTCAAGTCACAGGGAAGGGCACAGAGTCCCTGCCACAAGGGCTCAGTGAGACGACAAACGTCCCACACTCTGGGACCGAGGATGGCCCAGCTGTGAGCGCCCCAGCCCTGCGAGGAGCTGCAGTCACATTAAGGCTCAGCAGGGGCAGTGCTGGGAGCTCGTCCCAAGAACCACTGGGGGATTTGGTTATTAATGCGACATCAGATGGAAGCGCATGTTTAAAACAGCATGTAAACGTCTAACTGATCTCAAGAGCAGGAAGCCCTACATTTCCCAGTCAGAGCAGAGCAGGAAAGGTCAGGAGAGAAGCTTCCAGTAAGGGTCTTCAGACTCCCCTGTCTGGGCCAGTCTGAGGCCATCCAGATTCCCCCCAGGAGAAAACCGCTGGGGCCTTTTACAGTATGAAGGGGAGAAAGGGAGTACTCATCACAGCCACTGGTGCCAAGCTGGTGTGACCAGAGCGAGGCTGCTGGGCAGACATTCGTCAGCACACAGCTTCCCTAGCTTCACACGTTTTCAAATGGAGAAAATGCCATTGCCTCCTGCTATAAGTTGGAGAAGCTCCACCTGTATGTCTATTTACTTACTAAGGCTATCCAGGTTCCTTCTGCAACCCCACAAAAACTGTGATAATTTGTTGTCAGCAGGACAGAGGTCAGAAATGACGTCTACATCAGGTGACGCAGCAATAGGGGCAAGCACCAGCCCAGCAGAGGGACTCCAGTTCCAGGGTTCCTCAACACCCCAGGATGTAGCCCCTTGACGCAGCCAACATATAGTCATCTCCAGTGGCCTTGACCTTGCCCAGACTTGGGACAGGGAGCAGTCAGTGCAGAGGTTACTGGCCGTGGCCTGAAGTCACAGCCCCAACGTGAGGCACTGGACCCCATCAGGCTCCAGGGACAAGTGACAGCAACGATGGAAAGCGCAGCTGCTTGGGGGGGGGGAGGGGGGGAGGTCAGAGGCGCAGATACTACCCCGAGGGGATCAGTTGCTACACTGGGCTGCTCCCTGCTGCAGGAGACAATGGACTACTTCTCTCTGAAGCTTGGGACCATTAGCTTGGTTCCTGTAGGTGGGGTTTACACCCTACTGATAATGGTTACTATGGAGACTCAGGGAACAGGTTAAAGTTAAGCTGCCATCCTAAATCTAGGACCCACCCATCTTGTCACATGTATACCCCAACCCCTCCTCTTCCTACTGCATGCATGTCCCTAGACCACCCCTTCTCATTACTGTGTAACCTACAGTGCAACCCCTCCCTGTGACGTATGTCTCTAC